CCAAACACAAATCTAGCACAAGGAAGGAATTCATAAAACTCAAAGTGGAAATTAATGAATGGAGACTAAGAAAAATCCTATGCAACAATGGGTTATTTTTAAAAGGCAAAAAACAAAATAGACAAACCCATAGCCAAATTTTCCACAAAAAAGGATTCATATTACTGCAGCTAGAAATGAAAAGATGAAATCACAATAGACACTGCCAAAATCCGGAAGATCATTAATGACTACGGTGGAAAACTGTATTCAAACAAATTGGAGGATCTTAAAAGGATGGAAAGATTCCTAAACACATAAAAACTACAAAAACTGAACCAAGAAGGCATAAAACTTCTGTAAAGTACAATAACAATCAATGAAATTGAGGCAATAATAAAAAAATCAAATAATAGATTCACAGAATCTGCTATATTGTACAAGAACTTCAGAGGGGTACAATACAAATACTCCTCAAAATCCTTAATATAACTGAAGGGGAAGGAGTATTACTAAACTCCTTCATGGAAGGGAGTTTTACCCTGATACCAAAAGCAGACAAGGACCCAAACTGAAACAAGCAAGCAAACAGCAGTCCACTCTCTTCAATGAATGTACATGCAAAATCTGCAACAAGATACTGGTAAACAGAAAGCAATAAAACGTAATATAGATCATACATTTTCACAGAGTAGACTTCATCCTCAGGATGTAAGAATCGTCCACATATGCAAATTAGTACATAGAGTACAACACAGAAACAGAAGCATGAACAAAAATCACATAAACAGAAGCATGGACAAAATCTAATATCCACTTGTGATGAAGACTGATTAAGAAAATTGTTGTAGAAGGACATTATCAGACAAATGCCATTCATGATAGGCCTACTGCCCACATCATATTAAATGGGGCAAAACAAACTTTTCCTTTTAAAATCAGGAACAAGACAAGGTTATTCATTATTACCATTCCTATTCAACATGCTACTTTAGCCATAGCAATCAAGCAAGAGAAAAAAATAAAACAATTGTGTATAGGAAAGAACAAAGTCAAAATGTCATTTGCAGATGACATTATCCTTTACATAGAAGGCTTAAAAACTTACACCAAAACATTCCTAGAATTAATAATCAGATTCAAAATTGTACCAGAATACAAAATCAATTCATAAACCAATAGTGTTTCTGTATATAAATAATGAACCTATAAATAATGAACCTAGCAGTAGCATAAAAGAAAATAAACACTTAAGAAATAGGAACACAGAAAGTACAAGATCTTTACAACTACAGTACTCTGAAAAAGGAGATAGAAAAACATCAGAAAATGGAAAGACATCCACTGTTCATGGATAGACAGGACCTTTGCTGTTAAAATGGCCCTACTTCCAAATTGGTATATAGATTTGGTGCAATGCAAATCAAAGTGCCAACAGAATTTGTCACAGAACTGTAGAAAACAATCCTAAAATTTGTTCTTGTGAATTAGGAATAATGGGAAGTCCAGTGTAGATGCACGACTTTTCTGATGGGCTGCATTCAATTTTTAAGTAATTTAATGAAATGAGCCCTTACATAATAGAATGTTAGCCAATAAAGAGAATAAGTTAATATTCAATATTCAAGTTAATAACAATTCTTTTTGTAGCATTTTTAGTATAAGAATTTTATGTGAACATAAATGTATTATACATCTACCCCAAGAAGATAACTAGTTGTGATGCTTGATACTTTCCCAAATAATATTTAACTCTACTAATTTTCAATTACTTGGGTAAAAAATCCCTAGTCATCTTTATAAAGGGCAAAAAATGACACTTTGCTTAACCAAATTAATAAAGAATGAAGCAAATATTTTATGTAATTAATGATTCTACAAGTAAAACTTATTTTAGGAATTATGTATCATATGGACAAAATAAATTTTGCAACCCACTAATTCCATATATATTTATATATTTATATTTTAGTTGTATGTTTTGAAATATAGAATATGAAGTTTTATTATTTGTTGTCTCTAGGTATTGCTTCAGATGATAAAAGTCTGAGAGTAAATAAAATAGAAAAGGCCTTTGCCCTTGTGGAATTTATTGAATATATAAAGCAGAAAGTACCTAAGAAAAATTTATTAACATAGGAGACTATTATTAGACAAGTGGTAGGGAATCAGGCAGAGGGGGAATGTATATAGATGTATAATAAAGGGGTGAGTACAATCCAAATGTATAAGTATTGAAACACTCCACATGTAAATCTGGCTGAGGGCAGGCAAAGGAGGAGGTGTTGAAGGGATAAAAAGAATCAAAGTATGTTATGTGGATGTACAAATCTACAGAATGAGGCCCATGGATCCATAAAAAAATTAGAAAAGTTAAAAAAATACATTTGGTAGTAGAGTAAAGTGTTGTGATGTTAGATTTGTTGTTTAGGTGAACTTTTAGAAGACACAAAAGCATGAGAGAATAAACCACACTTGGCACAAGAAAGTAGAAAATAATGAATAGTCCCTGATCCATGACACTGAGGTATTCATTGTCTCAGAAAAAAGACACAGGTATGTGCAACTGTCCAAGATAGATGGGGTAAGGGCCACTGAGAAGGCAACGAAGGCTTCAGACAGGGCAGATAGGGTGAAATGATTTCCCTCTTGAGGAATGGAGAAATTATTTGAAGAATATGGAATGAATTTAGTGTCCCTGTGAATACATGACCATAATTATTAAGGGAGGTTTATGGAAAGATTGCTGTGTGTACAGAAATACAGATCAAAGAAAATAAAAAGTAGAGCATTATCAAAAGTAGCAAGTCCATACACCTGAATAATTATTTTATGTTTTTAGATATGTTCAACATTGAACATGAGCCAAATCCAGGTTACTGAAACTTCTTCAGTCAAAAATGCAAAAATACAATGTAAGCAAAATAAAGTTTCTGGTATACTTTATAAATTAATAAAATATATTTTATAATGAATATATTTATTGTTTTTATTATCTATCTAATTATCATAGTAAAACACTATGTCACACGAGTGAAAAAAATTAAAGAACTAGCATGAGAATATTTTCATAGCAGAGCTGTCACCAATAACTGTTTTAAACTTAGTATCCCTTTAATGGTGAATGATATTAGTACTAACACACTAGTACTTAATGCGTGTTTACTGCTAATGTTAAATGAGTATATAAATCTATTCTCATGCTTTTAAAAGATTCTGGTGAAAATAGATGCCAAGTCTCAGAAAACTCTTTACAAAATGTAGATTGTACCTGGAGGTTTTTTGTTTGTTTTGATAATGGCAATTGAGTTTTCTAATCTCTCAACCTCTCTTTTATAACACAGCGAAGTACAAAAGCAGACATTCATCTGCACCCACCAGCAATGATCCGGTGCTGTGGGGCAGGGGAGAAAGTACCATCAAGTGGCCATTGCTCATACTTTTGGTGCCATGGGTGATAATATCTTCACTCTCTGACACAGGAATCTCATATGTTCTACCAGTACCTATTAAGGTGTAGCAGGCTGATTTTTTATATTGTGAGTAAAGTAAACAATTAGACCCTTCCTAAATTCTGACATGGACTATGAGGATACATAATCAGTTCTTAAAACTTACCTGCTACATCACCACACACCTACTGATGAGAATCTCTGAGGTTGAGCCTCTAAAATTGTGAGAGCTCCGCTGATAATTTGCATGAACATAGTATTAGAACCAAAATTCAGCACATTAGCCTTCTGTCAGCTATTTAAGCAGGTTAAGTATCTTTCACTTTCAAAAGTGTAGAAAATTTAGAAAGGTAGAGTACAGAAAGATCTATTTGCATATTAAAAGATGAATTTCATTTTTAAATTGTTAGATTTATTTATCCTTAAATAAGGTAGAAATGCTCTTAAGCCTCTTTTTTCTTTTTTCTAAAAGATCAAATACCTTATTCTGGTTTATATAAGTAGAACTTCAAGGCTGAGTTTGAAAATATTCTTGTTTGTGTCTCGATGTCCCCCCAAAGCCTCATACAGTCATGGAGCAGGCTTCTAGAGTTTTTGATTGATTCATGGTCCAATGCTGGAATTCTGAGTATGAGTGCTACCCCCGTCCTGGGGCATATAATATAAGGGAGGGAAAGAGCTTTGACCTTTGCCTCTCCTCTCTTTTGTTATTGTTGCTTTTGCTGTTTCCTGCCACCACAAACTCTTGCTCTCTGCTGTGGGCCACCCTGCCTTGGAGCCAGCCAGGTATGGACTGAAACCTCCACAAATTATGAGCTAAATAAATCTTTCCTTCCTTAATTTTGGACATCAGGTATTTTGTCTTACAATGAGAGAAAAGTAACTAAGACAGCTCATTTGTTTCTGTTTAGATATCCAAAGTTAATGATTCTCATTCATTTTTTTTTTTTTTTTTGTGATTCTCATTCATTTTTACCTAATGGCCAAGTGTCATGAATCTCAGATTTTCTGACTTAGTGGATTCTTTCTTTTTCTTCATCCCTTGCTGTTTTCCTTTCCTTCTTTCACATGTTCCTGCTTTTGACCAGTCACATTTTAGGACTTCTCACAAATCTATTCCTGCTATGTATATTTTGCTATTTTCTCCAACAATATAGGCCCATGAATGTCCACAAGTAGTACATAATATGTTCATCAAAAGGTCTATTATTTGAATAGGAAAAAGAAGTCCTCTTACCTAGAAAACTTACTCAGAGAAGGTACAATTGATGTGGTAGCATAATGTATATGAACTTATTGTTCACAAGGGTGAAACCAAGATGTGAATATCTTCTATTGTTATAATTGGAGATTGTTTCAGTGCTCTAGATAGTGTAATTGCTTACTTCAGAAACTTGGTTTTCAGCCTTATACTAATTCTTCTATAGTTCCTTTTGTTTTTTACTTTAGAATTAGTAGAACTTTAATGAAAAAGCATTTACAATGTACAGATAATAAGAAGCACTCATTTAAAAGTGATATGTTGGAGAAAGCACCACATTTAACAGAATTTGGCGAAACAGTACTTACGGCACCTCTCAGGGGTTCTTGTCAATTAAGTTGGCAATAAGGGTGACAGTGGTCAATGTTGATATCTAAGGAATGTCAAAACTGTAGAATGCATTATTCAGTCTGAAAAAAATTATAAATGAATCAAAGTAGAGAAAATTCAGGAATGAATGTAAAATTTTGAAGTGAAAATTATTTCTCTAGAAGTTCAATTATGCATTTTTTCATCACAATATATCCACAAGTTCAAGTCCAAGTGTTTTTAATGTCTTATGCTACTTATGAATAAGGATGAAAGATAGGCTTTGGTTATTGAATCTTTCAAAACATTGCTGACTAGATAGCCTTTAATCATTTGTGAACCACTAGGCATTTTTCATCTTGGCAGAGAAAATTAATTTGAGTTTAAAAGTAACTTATTGGGAATAAACCATCTCTAGATAACACTATATTCTACCTAGACAAGGAAAAGGTAATGACGACTGAGTTATTAATATGTTCTCTGATCATATTCATACTTTTCCTGCTTGTGTGTTTAAAAGAAGACAGAATCAGGCCACAGGGTATTTCAAATTCATTCTGGAGTTCTTATGAGAGTTTAATCAAATATACTCAATCAGGAAAGTGAGGAACATAAAAGAATAATATTTACACCCAGGATTATAATATGTCTTTTTTCTTTGCTTTTGGAGTTCCTGAAATATAAAATATTGTCAAGAATTCAAATTTACCATCTCCACCACCTGGTAGAGAATACATTTTTCATTTTCTTAATATAGTATTTAATATCCTATATTTATCACTTCTTTAAAAACAAAACAACTGTTAGGAGGCAGACGCAGGAGGATCCCCATGAGTTTGTAGGCACCTTGGGGCTACAGAGAAAAGCCCTATCTTAAAAATTAACTAACTAACTACTGGTTAGAATATGATCCACTTTAAGGGCAGGGGATATAGCTGAGTGGCGTAAGCTCCTGCCTGGCAAGTGCAGGGTCCTAAGTTCAATTCCCAGTACCAAAATAACAAACAAAGAATATGATCCACTTTAACAACATTATATTGTTACATGAATTTGCCACCCAAAATTTTATAAGTAAGATCCTTTAATTATATAAAAAAGCATTTGAAAAAACATGCATGTTACAACACTGTTAAACATTTAGTTTTAATTTATTAGCATTAAATAGGGGCTGGGGATTTAGCTCAGCGGCACAGCACCTGCCTGGCAAGCACGAGGTCGTGAGTTCGGTTCCCGGTACTGGAGAAACACCAAAAAAAAAACCAAACAAACAAAAAAAAAAAACAAAAAAGCATTAAATAATGAGCCAACTTTTCTCAGTTAATATACCTCAATTATATTAAGTACATTAATCGAGGTTAGGTAAAATAATCACTCTTTACAGCTATCTATTACACAAACTACCAATAACACACAGGTATATCCATCTGAACAAATTTCACAAAGTCTGTTTAAATTTTATGGCATACGGTAGAGTAAGAGTTAAGAATCTGTATTCTGTTGTCAGAGGCTATTTCAAACAGCTATTCTAATATTTGAGAGTAGAGAAACCTCAGACACATCACTTCATTCAAAAGTTTGAAAGGAGGACATGTTTCCAAATAAGTAACATGTGACATACATAATGAGGGACATACGGGTTAGTTCTGTCACAGTGCCTCAGATTTGACGGTTTTTCACAATTATCAGTTATAACTTTGATCCTCTTTTTAAATTATGGGAGTTTTTGTTGAATTTATTATTAATTTGTGATTTTAACTTGTAACATATATCATCAGATATTCTGAATTTTCTGTTTCATTCACAATACTTTGGCATAGGGGTTTCTTATTATTTCATTGCAAAGAGTTAAAAGCACAAGTAGAATTTAAATTTTTCAGTCTTAGCATCTTGTGAGCTGTAAGGAAGCATTATTGAGTCATTATACAGCTGAATTTTAAAATAAAAGATGTCTAGAAAATCTGATGAAACTTTCTACACCTCTCCCAGGAATGATCAGTTATCTCCTCGCTCACATTGTACCTTTTTACTGTTTTGCCATGGTCATCATTTTATTAGTTTTCTCCTTCTAGTATATCTCCTGTATCATATTTAGAGAATCTGGAGGAAAATATATTATTGGCTTGAATTAGCCCATATTTACCCTTTTGCCTTGAATGTTATAAGTACACAATATGTTTGTGGAATGAAACAAATGATTTATGCTCAGTACATTTAAAAATGGTAAATTGACATTATAACAGTTAAGAGCTTTATTCCCATGGTCATCGCTGCTGCTGTTAGGCATTTCAAGGCACATGATGGGTTGTATTCATTGTCCCCCTGATGACAGGTTTTAACCTGTTAACCAGTAAAAGCCAGTAGGACACAATATATGTGTATGCTGAACATTTAGTTGTCAGTACAGGAACTTTCACAGACTGCTAGCTTCTCTTGGTCAAGGCAACTTCCAAGCTGTGTCGTACTGCTCGGTCTTCCTGGAGCCCAGTGACCTGAAGTACACAGAGCTGTGCTCTTGTCATTTTGGGTGATCACATCAGTTATTTATGAGAAAGAAATACTGTTGTGTCAAACTATTGGGATTTTTAGGTATTTTTCCTTGACTTTATTTTAACCTATCCTGTCATAATGAACACAGGGTTCCACCTTGTTAGAATTAAAAGAAAAATATGTAAGTGAAAATATTTCACAAGGAGAAGGATGAAACATATAACAAAGCACAAAAGTGATTTAGAAAAAAGGTTACAAACACAGAATTTCTGCTCCTGATAAGCTATAAATTGCCTCACTCTGGAAGGCAAGGAAGCTTCTTTAGTCTTTCTTAGAATGTGACTTTGAGTATCAGTCCAGGAAAATAAAATACAAATGTGCATCAAGAAAAATATTTATGTAATTTATAGATATAACATATGTAATTAATATTATTTTAGATCTAATTAACCATTCATATATATGTGCATATATAAATATAAAAATTATATATAAGATAAAGATAGTGAGAGCAATTTGTCAGAAGCGTTATAAGGATCTTAGATGAGTTTTATCTTAAAGAATTAAAAGAACTCATATTTCATAGTTTCCCTATCTGCTCCTACAGTGTTTATAAAACATTGTCCAAATATTAGGAATTTCAAAAGAACATAATACATTTAATAGGTGGAAAGGACCAACAAAAACTAGATAATATTCTTTAAATGCAGTGAGTATTTTAGCTAACAGAAAGTCCCCACGAGAGAATTCATACAAATCTATATCTTTTACTGAGGAGATAATACAATCCTTTGACACTTAGTGACCCATTTTTGTGATGCCCTTAACAGTGGAACATTATGAAATATATTCTGGTCAAATTTTTGCTCTTTGAATTTTTCTAGGTAGCATGAATTTCATGCAAAAATTCTAAACATATCAGTCTTTGGCATAAATAGGTTAATGATTTAGTGTTTCACATTCAACACTGGAGAAAAAGAATAGCAAAACACTTTCCAAATTGGATTATCTCTGGTTTTTCCCTAATTTAATTTCATTCACATCATTATATAATAAGCCTTTCTCCTCAGGAATATTCAGTTTGATGTTTCTACTCAGGATTAACATGATGCTACCTAAAATATATAAAAGAGATTTAGAGTCAGGAAAATTACATAAGTAAATATTTTATAAAGTGTGAAAACGCTTTATTAAAAAAGGAATAAATTAGATGTATTTAGGCAACCAAATATGTTTTGTACATACATTTACTAGTGAGTATATGAATGAACATTCCCTGGTATCTACTTCTACATAAAAATATACCCCAACTAAGTCCCTTAATAGCACTCAGATGTTTTGTTCACAGTTCTGAGGGTTGACTTGGCTCAGGTAGGCAGTTTACACTACAGATGCTTCCTGCAACTGAATTCGGCAGCAGCTGGGGTTTGCACGATGGTGGAAATTTTCTTATTGTGTTACTGATATCTGGCCTGGGAATATCAAATGACTGGGGTAAGCATTGCTGTGCTCCTCTAGTACTTCTGTCTCTATCTCTGTGTGCCCTTAATATTTGCATCCTCAGGGTGGCTATCCTTCCTACAGGGTAGACAAGACTCCTAAGACTGTATTCCACAAGCAATCGGCAAAAGTTGAGTACATGTCCTTCTGTAACCTACTCCCAGGACTCACATAGCATCATGTTCTCTGTACTGTATTTGCTGAGGTTGACAAAAAGATTCACCCAGTTTCAAGGGTACAGGCATTGTTTGCAGCCATGATTTTCAAGTCAGTACGGCAGAGATAAAAATCAGCACTACAGCACTAGACATCTAGTACGATAAAACTGTGAACTTCTAAAGGTCCAGAATACAAAGTCAGGAATTCTGCTTCATCTGAAATGAGTCACTAAACAGCATTGTTCAGTCCAGTGAAGCAGGACTTTTAGAGTGAATTCCTGATGGTTGAACTCCTCAGCATGAAGCAATTTTACTGCGCAAGCAACTTTCTATCACCTGATGCTTCCTCTGCTTCCTCAGCAGCTGAGGCATCAATTGTCTCGAATTTCACTTCCATTCAAAGTAATAATGTGTTATTGATGGTGAGACATGCATGCTTGGCATTTAGAGATCCTGCAAGGCAGCTGTTTTGTTTCTTCCGACCATTAAACTGATTAGAGGAGAAGATTAAATATAATATTTGTTGGAGGCCAAATAACATAGGACTTGGCAGGCTGTACAATTGGAGTTTTGAAAAAGAAAAAGTGGTTAGAAGAATAGTATTATCCTGTGTTGAATGAAAAAGTAATACATAAAGTGGAGTTTTTATAATTAACTGACATCTGAGCAAAGCAGCTATTGATTATTTTTTAAGTTGGTTGCCATTTAAATGGGGCAATTAGTTAGACCTAGAATAAGCAAAATCTTCCAATGCTTCTGCTGCCACTGCTCTGTGACTAATTTAAAACTTTTAAAAGCCACAGATTCTAAGTGTCTAGAGAAAAAGCTCAGAGGAAATTTGCCAGGGCTGTATACCTAAAGTTATAGGGGGAAAAGAGGTAGAAATGGCTGGCTCGCTTTAGATAGGTTTTTTAAGTGTAATAACAATCTAATTATAGAGAG